TGATAGAGCTAACTGAATGTCATATATTTCAATATCCCTAAGAATAAATTTCAAATATTCTTATCACAAAAGTATATTATACCACATATCAGCTGCAGTGATCACCTTGGTACATGATGTAACTAGAAAGGATATAAGAATAAACGGATTCCCACTCTACCAGAGGCCATGCCATGCTATAAACCCCAGGTAAGACACCCACTAAAACCTCTTAAGCCCTACCCAGCAGTCCCCAACAGCAAGAAAATCCAAAGAAGCATTAGGTCATACTTCAAGAAACCTGTATTCCATAAAAGTGGAAAATCTGTTTCATAAAGAAATTAGACAAATCTCATACTAACAGCATAACTCATTACTAACAGATAATCAGTAACTCAACAGTCCTAACTCAACACTAGCAGATCTAATACTTTAACAGCACACCTGGAATCTCTAGAACAAGCAGCAGTGGACAGCAGGAAATAATCAAACTCAGGGCTGAAATCAATAAAATAGAAACAGAAAACAATACAAAGAATCAATGAAACAAAGAGTCGGTTCTTTGAGAAAATCAACAAGATAGACAAATACTTATCCAAACTAACTAATAGGCACACAGAGAGAATATCCAAATCAACAAAATCAGAAATGAAAAGGAGGACATAATAATAGACACCAAGAAAATCCAAAGAATCATACTTCAAGAACCTGTACTCCACAAAATTGGAAAATCTAAAAAAATTGGACAAATTTCTTGATAGATACCACTTACCAAAGTTTAAATCAAGATTAGATAAACAATTTAAATAGATCTATAATCCCTAAGGAAATAGAAGCAGTCATTAAAAGTCACTCAACCAAAAAAGGGCCAAGGCCAAACCATTTTAGTACAGAATTCTACCAGACTTTCAAAGAAGATCTAAAACCACTACTCTTCAGAGTATTCAGAAACAGAAAGAACATGACCAAAATCATTTTATGAGGCCACAGTCACCCCAATACCAAGCCACACAAAGACTCAACAAAGAAAAAGAATTACAGACTATATCCCTCATGAACATTGATTTAAAAAAAAATACTCAAATACTCGAAAACTGAATCCAAGAAGACATCAAAAGACCATCCTCCATGATCAAGTAGGCTTCATTCCAGAGATGCAGGGATGGTTCAACATTAAAAAGAAAGAAAGAAAAAGAAAAAAACTGTCAATGTAATCCACAATACAAACAAACAGAAAGAAAAACAAATGATCATTTCATTCCCTGCTGAAAAGGCCTTAGATAAAATCCAACCCCCTTTCATGATAAAAGTCTTAGAGAGACGAGAGATACAAGGAACATACCTAAACATAATAAAGGCAATATACAGAGTGCCAACATCAAATTAAATGGAGAGAACTTAAAGCAATGCCACTAAAATCAGGGACAAGACAAGGCTGTTCACTCTCTATGTGTCTATTCAATATAGTACCTAATGTTTTAGCTAGAGCAACAAGATAACTAAAAGAGATCAAGCAGATACAAATTGGAAAGGAAGAAGTCAAAGTATCACTATTTACAAATGGTATGATAGTATACATAAGCTATATCAAAAATTCTACCAGGGAATTCCAACTGATAAACACCTTTAGTCAAGTGGCTGGATACGAAATAAACTCAAAAAAAAAATCAGTAGCTCTCCTGTACATAAACAATAAAGGGGACGAGAAAGAAATTAGGGAAACCCTTTACAATAGCCAAATATAAAATTACTCTGACCAAGCAAGTGAAAGACCTGTACAAGAATTTCAAGTCAGGAAAGAAATTGAAGAAGATATCAGAAGATGGAAAGATAACTCACGCTCAGCAATCAGTAGCATTAACATAGTAAAAATGGCCATCTTACCAAAAGCAATCTACAGATTCAATGCAGTTTCCATCAAAATTCCAACACAATTCTTTACAGACCTTAAAAGAGCAATTCTCAATTTCATACAGAAAAACAAAACAAAAAAATCTGTATAGCTAAAACAATCCTGAAAAAAAATTCTGGAGGTATCATCATCCCTGATTTCAAGCTCTGCTACAGAGCTACAGTAATATAAACCACATGGTATTAGCATAAAAGCAGACATGTGGGTCAACGGAATCAACTTGAAGACCCAGACATAAATCCACACACCTATGAATACCTGATTTTTGGCAAAGAAGCCAAATTATACAATAGAAAAAAGAACAACAAATGGTGCTGATCTAACTTTATGTCTGCAATATACAAGAACACAAAATGATCCATATCTATCACCCTGCACAAAAGTTCAAGTGAATCAAAGACCTCAACGTAAGACCAGATACACTGAACCTGACAGAAGAGAAAGTGAGGAATAGCCTTGAACACATTGGCACAGGAGACAACTTCCTAAACAGAACACCAATAGCATAGGCACTAAGATTGACAATTAATGAATGGGACCTCATGAAACTGAAAAGCTTCTCTGTAAGGCAAAGGAAACTGTCAATACAACAAATCGGCAACCAATAGAATGGGAAAATATCTTCACCAACACTACATCAGCCAAAGTGATAATTTCCAAAATATATAAAGAACTCAAGAAACTAGACATCAACAAACCAAATAATCCAATAAAAAATGGGGTACATATTTAAAAAGAGAATTCTCAACAGAGAAATCGCAAATGGCCAAGAAGCACTTAAAGAAAAGTCCAACATCCTTAGCTATCAGGGAAATGCAAATCAAAACAACTCTGAGATTTCACCTTACATCTGTGAGAATGTCTAAGATTAAAACACAAGTTACAGCTCATGCTGGTGAAGATGTGGAGCAAGAGGAATGCTCCTTCATTGCTGGTGCAAATGCAAACTTACACAGCAACTTTAGAAATCAGTATGGTGGTTTCCCTGAAAAGTGGCAATCGATCTACTGCAAGACCCAGCTATATATTCTGGACATATACCCAAAAGATGTTCCATCATACCACAAAGACTTCTGCTCAACTATGTTCATAGCAGCTTTAGTCATAATCCTCAAGAAACTGCAAACAACCTAGATGTCCCTCAACCAAAGAATGGATAAAGAAAGTGTGGTATATATACACAATGGAACGTACCTCAGTCATTAAAAACATTGACATCATGAAGTTTGCAGACAAATGAATGGAATTGGAAAAAATCATCCTGAGTGAGGAAACCAGGAACACACAGAAAGACAAACATGGTATGTACTCACTCCTAAGAGGTTATTAGCTGTAGACTAAATGATAACCATGCTACAATCCACAGACCCAGAGAGGCTAAGAAACAAGGAGGGCTTAAGGAGGTGAACACATTAATCTCCCTGGGAAGGGTAAATAGAATAGACATCATAGGTAAAGGAGGGGATGGGGCAACAGGAACAGGAAGAAATGGAGGCAGGTAGAGAGAGTGAGTACTGGAAGAAACATGTGAGATTGGAAGGCATCTCCAGATGAGCTAGAAACTTAATGCAATGGAAACTCCCAGCACTATATGAGGATGACCCTAGCTAAGACTCCTAGCAATGGGGGATAAGGAGCCTGAACTGGCCATCTCCTGTAACTAGGCAAGATTTCCAGTGGAGGGGCTGAGACACCAACCCAGCCACAAAACCTTCAACCTACAAGACATGTTGGGGTTATAGGCGGCACAAAAATTGTGGGAGTGTCCAACCAATGATTGGTCCATCTTGAGACCCATGCCATGAGAGTAAGACCACCCTGACACTGACTGGAAGGCCAGGGCCCAGAGGCTGAACAGCTCAGAAATTTAGGGAAGAACCAAACATGACTGGAAAAGATCAGTGAAATGATCCCTGATGGTGTTCTACTATATTCATAGATTGCTGCTTAGCTCAATTGTCATCAGAGAGGCTTCATCTAGCAACTGACGGAAACAGATGCAGACCTACAGCCAAATATTAGGTAGACCTTGGGAAATCCTGAAGAAGGGAAGGAAGGATTGTAGGAGCCAGAAGAAATCAAAGACACCACAAGAAAACGGAATCAACTAACCTGGACTCATAGGGGTTCACAGAGTCTGAACCGTCAGCCTAGACCCTATGCATGTATGTTACACAGTTGTGCAGCTTGAACATTCCTCCCTCCCTTCCTTCCTTCCTTCCTTCCTCCCTCCCTCCCTCCTTCCCTCCCTCCCTCCCTTCCTCCCTCCCTTTCTCTCTCTCTCTCTCTCTCTCTCTCTCTCTCTCTCTCTCTCTCTCTCTCTTTTTCTTTTGGTTTTTAAGACAGGGTTTCTCCGTGTAGCTTTGTAGACCAAGCTGGCCTTGAACTCACAGAGGTCTGCCTGCCTCTGCCTCCCAAGTGTTGAGATTAAAGGTGTGGGCCACCACTGCCCTCCCTGTAGCTTGGTCTTCTTGTGGGACTCCTAACAATCAGAGCAGGGGCTGTCTCTGACTCTTTTGCTGGCTTTTGGCACCCTTTTCCTCATGCTGAGTGGCCTCAGTCAGCCTTCAACTTGATATGCCATGTTTGGTTGCTATCCACAGGGAGACTGCCTTTCTCCTAACGGAGACGGAGGAGGAGTGGATGGAGAAGAACGGCAGAGGAGAAGCAGGGAGTGCTGGGAGTACAGGAAGGAGGGACAACAGCAGTCTTGTTGTTAAACAAATAATAATAAACAGTATGAATGGTGAGATTAAAAAGATAAATTACAAGTAAGCAGATAGGGTACATGGATTCATTGAGATCAAACACACTCATTTTAAAAACTACCATTGCCTCTGTCTCCTGAACATGAGAATTTGAAGTTCGGAAAGAACCCTGCACCACAGCCTTCCCTAGCTGTGGAGTGAAGCTGGAGCATACACATTGGGAGGCACACATTAAAATATTTAAGGGCAAGCCAGGCCTGGTCTGCATCATGATTTGGTTTGGAGCCCAAAGAACTAACTTCTTCCTCCTGTGCAACACATCTATATAGAGTCTAGAAACTCTTATTACACAATACCAACTGTTTTAACTATGAGGCATGTGAGAAATAACTTGATCCTACCTCCTTCTCATGCATTTGAGAGAGAAAATGATCATCATGAATACTGCTAGACTTCTTCAGGCTGACCTTTGGAGTTATCTGTAGAACCAGTAAGAGTTATTGAAAACTTCCCAGGACTAGTTTATCAACTCTTTAAAAGTAAACTAATAAAGTCTGAAACTCACTTCAAAATAATGTTAGCTTTGGAGAAAAAAAGGATTTATTCACTTCTAAGCAACAGGATTAAAATTACTATTTTTTCTTCTTAATGATGACTTACATTATTTTATATTGCAATAATTTTACATTTATTTAAAGATACCCATCCTTAGAAAAAAGTCCAGTGAAATCATCACCTACCAGAGAAACTGGGAGAGGCTTCTGTCTCAGGTATCGAGGATTTTCTATCTGAAAAATTATAAGTAAAGACATTAATCCTGGAGTTGTTGTTTGAATAAAATACTTTTTTCCTATGTGAAAATGTCTTCTTATACCTTACTATTTAGTTGATTTTTATAGTACTTACATACATTGCAGTGAACTGCCTTTCTGTGTCTAAAAGCACCTTCCTGGCCCTTCTCTCTCAATGCCCACTCTCATCCATGGTCTTCACTCCACACTTCATAGTTCTCAAATCCTGAAAGACTATGTTACCAGAGCTTGGGCCCCTCTGCTTGGTTTTTTTTTTTAATACCCCCAAGTCCTCTAAGTGAACACAAATCCATTCTTTAAATCTTGATTTAGTCACTACACCACCCCCAGACATACTAGAGACATGATTCTTTAGCCATAAATTGTAGCATAAATGAGGATGTGGTGATATATTGTTTATGATTCCATAAAGCCACTGGAGATCAAAATGCAAAGCTAGCCACAAGCCATAGAGGCAGGCAGTGGTGATACACATCTTTAATCCCAGGACCCAGGAGACTGAGGCAGACGGATCTCTTGTTAGTTCAAGTCCACACTGACTACATGAAATTGACCCAGTCTAAAAAGAAACAGTTCACACAAAGGTGATTCCAGGACTTGGAGTCACACACCTTTAATTCCAGCACTAGGGAGGCGGAGACAGGAGGATAAGTAGAGAGAGGAATATAAGGCGGGAGGAGACAGGAACTGTGAGAGTATTGCAGTCTGAGGCTTGGTGGAGAGCAGTGCAGTCTGCATATTGCCTCTGAGGATTTGTAGAAAGCACATTGCCTCTGAGGATTGCACTCTGGGGATTCATGGAGACAGCATCACCCAATTCAGCCTGAGGTAGAGGAAAGAGCTAGTGGCTTGCTTTTCTGATCCTCAGCATGAACCCCAACATCTGTCTCTGGGTTTTTATTATTAGTGTTACATGAGGACATGAAGTTCCCTTGAGATTCTCCCTAATCTCTTTTCAGCTTCACTATCCTCCAACTTAATCCATATTCCAGGGGAGCCAAACAACTTGTTCTACCTTGCAAGCAGTACCTGCAAAAAAAAAGATGCAACATTCTCCCACCTTCTTCAAGACTCACTGAGTCAGAATGAGGTTCCTCAGGAAAATGAACTCCTACAAGGCTAGTGCCACCCTGGATGCTCACGTCTTTTAATGACCTAGCACCTATTTTCTCCAAAAAAAAAAATGTGAATCCAAAAACAAAGACTGCTATTGTCACATTCTCCAGTCTATTCCCAACGATATTCGTAGGGAAGAGGAGGGAGAGAGGGACCTACATTGGGCCCCACCTTCCAGCAGCTCATGGAGCATCCTGTGCTCACTTTCATGGCCCTTACATAAACTTTGAGTGTTGAGCAGTATGTTCACACACATCTTTGGGCAGACTGAGAACAACGATAATGTCTTCTCAGCTTTGCACCTCTGTTATCTAACACATATTTAATGCCTTTTAATCAAGGTTTATTGAATTGCTTTATGCTAAATTCTTTACGATTTCTATGCCAATTACTTCATTTACAAATTAAAATTAAAAGTCATTACCAGAAAAAGTCCAATGTCTTCACATCATAAACTCACAACTTACTACACCAATAACCACAAAACAAACAAGAACATTATGACTCCAGAAGGAGTGGTTCTCACCCTGGATTACACAGTTAGGATTAAGTGACAAGCATTTTTTTTTTTTTTTTTGCATCTTATTGAATTCAACCTTCAAAAATCCTAGCCGGTTTTCAGAAAGCTAAATTTTATATAATTGTGAAGATATCTACACTCAATTTGACATAAAAGGCAAAGACAAATCAAGAATCCATTGAAGAAAACAGAGGGACTAAACGTAAACAGAATTTAAAATAGCCAAAGAGTCTAATATAACAGCAGACAGGATCTGAGGAATATATACATTTTAGTCTATAGAACAGGAAAATAAGTACATTGTTTTCCTCACCTAGAGACTAGATCCCATAAAGGTACTGAAAACCATCTGAACTTCAATTTCTCTCCTCCTTGTCCTGGAGGTAGACCAACAATGGAACCAAATAAAAACACCCATTAGCAGTGCCTACATCACAATGAAGAGAAATTGAATAGTAATTCCAAGATCCACATGAAAGTAGCCATAAAGATCCAAAGCTCAACAGAATTCACAAAAATTACAAAGTCCCCACAACTGTATGTTTGGCAGCACTACATCCTGACTGTGTCGACGTCTGAGGTCAGTGCTTAAGATGTGAAGCATCCTGAGAAGATACATGAATCACAACTGTGCTAAGTGAGCTAAGTGAGGTAGGAAGAGTGTCTGATGCACTAGGCCAGAGAAGGAGTGCCAAACTGTACAGTCAGCTCTTTAAATACAGATAGCAACCTTCTAGGAAGCAACAAAGTACATTCAACAAATATCTGCTGTTTGCATGCACATGTGTGAAAAGGAAGTTGCATTCTTCATTTGCGGACCACAGAAAGTGAGTTCTTCAAAGAAACACACACCAACACACACACCCAACTCTAACTCATGAAGCCGAATTAAATATAAGGAGAAACAGGAAGAGGAAAAACAAGTCTCAAAGATGCTCAAGCTCTAATTAAGTTTAGATTTAAACAAAAAACCAAGGAAACCATCTGTGACTTATTTTTGCTCAGCTCTACATTTATAAGCAGGACACAAAATATCGGTCTTGTTAATTACAATGCAGCATTTCAACTATACAGAAGTCTTATTCCACCCCCTTCATCTTTAAAAGCATTAAATAAATAAGTTAAGGGCTTCTATAATTGTGAATTATTTTTTCAAACTGATGAATAAAGAAAAATGTCTATTCTAATTCATAAAAACAACAAAAAATAGTGAAAACTGGTTATAATATTCCGTTGTTCTTATTCATTTATAATACATTGAGTTTGGGAAATATTCAAAGAAAAGCATGTTCTTGAGTCTATTTAGGGAAAATAAGCAATCTATTTTCTGATTTTGTAACAACAGCCAGATGTGCTTTGAAGTTGACTACTCCCACTTTGCAATCCGCAGGCAGCATGGACTTGGATGGAGCAATGTGTAAACAGTCTTAAGGCCGACTTCTTTCATGTTCTTTCCGAAAACCTCGCTCTCTCAAAATACATCAAGAACAAATGACACAAAAAAAGAATGTCTAGCATGGAAGCTACAACAGACTAGTGTGAAACACTGATGCAGATGAAAATATATAGAAGGCAAAGCCCCAAATAACTAGATTCCAACAGCGCAAGTCCATCAGACATATGCACATTTGTTTCAAAAGCAATCAGAATAGCAACATTAAAATACATAATAATTTTAGGATAGGCAGTAATTCAGATATCTGAATGCTAGCGAAAACTGACTTTTGATGTTTTATTTCATTTAGCTTTTTAGCAGGCACTCTAGATTACAAATAGGTTTGTGTTGGCTTATATTTTCAAATTATTCAGGTTTTGGCTGAACCTTCTGATAAACTAATAGTTAGTTAGAGAGGTTTTGTTTCCAGAAAAATTAAAAGGCACTTTATCAGACATACAAACTACAAAGGGAATGACATTGTCAAATGATATATTACCACAAACACCAACTAAAATAACAGTATAGCAAAACTCTTCACAGGGATGAAGGAGCTGGTCAGAGAACTCAGCTTTCAACATCTAGTGAACTGTGCTTCAAGATGATATCTTTCAACTTATAGAAATCAGTGTCTGGGGCCAGTGAGATAGCTCAGTGAGTAAGGGTGCCTGCTGCCAAACCTGATGGTCTGACTTCAATCCCTGGGCCCCACATGGTAGAAGGAGAGAACCAACTCCCACAAGTTGTCCTCTGACTTCCAGAACTCTGCACACAAATAAGGAGTATTTTTTTAAAGAACAATATTTTCCACAGAAATAATACTACATGTGAAGGCTCACTAGTTTACCCAAAGTATTTCAACAAACACTATCAGGCTTAAGCAACAAACACATACAAACACACCACCCAGTAGTACCTCTAGGAAAAGGGGAAAAAACAAATGAACAGAACACAAGCAGGAAATACTGTTGTCTACTGCTGGTGAGACAAATTATGCCTTGGCACATCAAGAAAAGAATGTTTCATCCATTGGTTCTGATGGGCTGAAGTTCAGTTTGGGTTTGATTTTTGACCTAGTTAGGTTTCTTAGTTTGTTAGTCCCCGCGCCCCCCCCCCCCACGCCCGAGGTTAAGTTAGGGACCATTAGTGGATCTTTCCTTCTCAGCATTGCTTTGGACACAGCACAGAACTTTTATGAATGTTCACATTACTCATTAACGCTTACCTTCGGTTTTAATTACCACTTTTACACAGAACTCTTTGATATTGATGGGTTTTGTATTTTGATTTTCAGCTAAAAAGATAAAAATGAAGCTACTCTTTTGGTGGTAATTTCTAGTTCTATTAAAAGTTATTTATTGAAAATGTATTTATTTCCTAATCAGAACAGTTTATAAATACCCTTGGCACACAAAGATAAACTCACAAGCAAAAGTTCTTCTCCTTGGCCTCTGTTCTATAACCGTATTTCTTCTTGTTTTTTAGAAACTGTCATCTCCTCTTAAGATAAAAATATCAGTTATAGTAATTTCTCCAATCTCAAAACTAGTTTTCTTTTCTTTCTTTTTTTGATGTTTTAAACTTTATTTATTGAGTTCTGTGCTTGTGGGTATGCACACAGCACAGTGTGTGTGTGTGTGTGTGTGTGTGTGTGTGTGTGTGTGTAGAGGACAGCTGGTGAGAGTTGGTCCTTTCCTTCCATGATGATGAGGTTTATGGGGATCAAACTCAAGAATGAGGTTTGACAAGTGCCTTTATCCATGAAGCCATTTTAATATATATATATATATATATATATATATATATATATATATATGTGCACCAATGCCAGGATTACATGTTGGTTTACATGCTGGCTATTTCTTGAATTTTTTCAAAAGGTAGCTCAAAGTGAATAATGATTTT